ATAGCTCAGTGGATAGGAGTGCTAGACCTGGAGTCAGAAAGATCTGAGTTCATCCAGCCTCAGACCCTTACTAACCATGTGACCCTTGTCAAATCATTTAACCTCTGTTTGCCTTAATCTGCTGGAGAAAGAAATGGCCAACCACTCTAGTATCTTTGCCAAGAAAACCCTACAGACAGTATGGTCCACAGGGTCATGAATAGTTGGATAGGACCAAATAACAACACTATTTACCTACCACTTAACCTGTGCTGTCCTACATTGTTATTGATTTGTCTACATTTATGTCTTGTTTCCCCAAGTATATTCTAAATCCTTTAGGGCAAGGACCCATGTCATCTGTCCATTGTATCACCAGTATTGAGCAGGTGCCCTGTACCATGCTCAGTGAATGTTTGTTTTTGTTGTGAATTCAGCATATAGATATTTGTGCATCCTTAGAGTGTGTGAGAGAATAAGGAGACGAGGAAGGTCCTTCCCTGAAGAGGCATGGTAGGCAGCAGCATGGGTGCACCAGAGACCTCTGTCTGGGTAGGAATCAGAAGGCCCAGCTTCCAGCCCAGCCATTGCCAATGACTCCCTGGCATGCTTGGGTGAGTCTCTGTGCTTCCTGTGTTCCACCTATAAAATGGGAATAATGAAAGGCAGCTTTGCAGCAATTTTATGATGCCAGCATGCTATTTACAAAAAGACAAGGAACTCTTTGGGAAAGGTTTCATTATTTTTAAGAAGGATACGACATATTTCAGGAGAAGTTTTATTACATGGAGATACCAGCTTTAAGATAATCCAATCTAAAAAAAAAAATCCAAGCTTTAAAAAAAATAAACATGGGAATAATTCTTTGTTTGACATATCAAAAACTATTTTTCCGAGTCCATTGAGAGAGGAATCAATTTGCCCTCAACTTGTACCTATGATATAAAATGAAGCACACATTCTATTCTCTCTTCCTTTTGCTCAATTAATCAACAAAAAATATTTTGAATAACTATTGGTCTAGATTCAGGCTATAGTATGGTCCTTTGACTGAATCGAAACTTCACAGAACAAATCCTCTTAATAAAAAGATTTGTTCTGTAAAACTTGTCAAAAACTCAGTCAAAAGGATGCACCCAAGGACCTAGAAGGTCACATGTAGCCTTGAGGCTGCAGGTTCCCCACCCCTGGCGTAGACTATGATATGAAGTCTGGCTAAGATTAATTCATCTAATGAATAACTACTGTTTTGGGGAAAGTCACCTCCTTTGCCTGGGACAACTGTGATAGTGGAAAGAGCCCTAGATTTGGTGTCAAAAGATCTGGGATAACCTAGATATGAATCCCTGCACCTGCCACTGACTAGCTCTACAATCTTAGATGAATCATTTAACCTTCAGAATGATAGAATCTCACAGTGGGAGAGGACCTTAGAGCCCATCAGATAGGTCAAATTTCTGGGTGTGGCCTGGACCAGATTAAAATGTAATTGGGAAATGTTTAACAAAATAAATAAAAATGCAATTCGGCACAGATAATGTTAATTTGTGATTTTCTTAAGTCAGTATGCAGCCTGTAGGGATCTGTTTCTATTTGAATTTGATTCCAGAGATCTAGTCCACTCCATATATGAACAAGAATCCCCTCTATAAATATACCCAATAATATGTATATTACATATATATATATATATGTATATATATATATATACATATATATACATATATATATATATATGTATATATATATATATACATATATATATACATATATATATATATATATATATATATATATATATATGTATACACACACACACACACACACATACATACATACTATAACAATATACCCATCTAGACTTCCTGGATAGAAGGGAGAAATCCTGAGAAATCCTAAAAAGCCTAAATAACTACTACCGATTCTGCTGAAGACATGATGCTACCATATGGAACCGAACAAGGATTGCTAAGGATTAGCAGTGCTGTTAAACATTTGTATCAATGATTTGGAAAAAGGACACAGATTTCATGCTTATTAAATCTGCAAATGGCACAAAGCTAAGAGGAACAGTCAGCACACTGGGTAACAATCAGGATCCAGAAAGATCTTAACAGGCTAAAACATTGGGCCAAATCTAATAAGATGAAATTTAATAGAGATTAAAGTCAGACTTGGGTTCAGGAAGTCAACCTAAAGTATCATGATATCAGCTTCAGAAGAACAAGATGGAGGAAACATGCTATTTTGAAAGAAATCTAGAGGTTTTAGTGGTTTGTAAGTTAAAAATAAATAAGTGAACAATGTAGTATGGTAGCCAAAAAGGCGAATGTGATTTTAGGCTGTGATTATTACTTAGGTGCATTATAGTGTCTTGGGCAAGGGAAAGAATAGTCCCATCATACTCTGCACTGGTCAGACCACCTCGGAGTGTTGTGTTCAGTTTTGGGTGCCACATTTTAGACGGAGCATTGACTGGAGAGCACAGGAGGGAGAAGATGAATTCAGGGATGTGCTGGAGCCAGCTCAAACAGGCTCCAAAAAAGCCAATTATTAGATTTTCTTTTTTAAAAATTAATATATTTTTGTTACCTTTTAAGCTTTGAACTGTCTTCTTCCCTTCTCCCCATCATTTGACACAGATATGTATATATGTGTGTGTGAATGATATATATACATACATGTATACATATATATACATATACACACATACATACACACACACACACACAGAAAACATCATGCTATGAATAACTACCGTTTATCAGCTCTTTCTCTGGAGGTGGACAGCATCTTACTTCATGGATCCTTGTAGTTGATTTGAGTATTTATAATACTCAGAATAACTTAGTCATTAACAGTTATTCTTCAAACAATATTGCTGTTACTATATACAACATTCTCTTGGTTCTGCTCATTTCACTCTTCAATGATTAAATTTTCAAGGTGAGCATTCACACCTTAGAAATCTGCCAACACTGTAGATCAGGCCTTGATTTACTGTTTTGTTGGTTGTTGAGATTTTTTCGTTGTTGTTCAGTCATTTCAGGCATGCCTGACTCTTTGGGATCCCCTTTTTTGGATTTGCTTGGCAAAGATGCTGGAGTGGTTTGCCACTTCCTTCTTCAGCTCATTTGACAGATGAGGAAATTGAGGCAAACAGGGTTAAGTGACTTGCCCAGGATCACACAGCTAGCAAATATCTGATGTTGAATTTGAACTCAGATTTTCCTGACCAAGGCCTGATGTTCTATTCAGTGGGCCACCTAGCTGCCCTGTCTAGACTTAATTGTGTTAATAATGCAAATTAAACTTTAAGGTGTCTTGTTAATGTCCCCTTCCCCTTAGCAGATTGTTAAACATTTATCAGCATACCACTAGATATATGCTCCTACGACAAGAATGAGTCTTCAAAATGCTGACAAATAAGATGTTTGAAAGATCCATGGAAAGATAGAGCATGGGCTGTGGAGTGGGGAGGACCTGAGTTCAAATCCAGCCTCAAGACACTTACTAGCTGTGTGACCCTAGGCAAGTCACTTAACTACTTTGCCTCCCCCCAAAAAATCTATGAAAAGAAGACTTAGGAAAGACACGTTAAATATCTTCAAGCATTTGAAGGATTGTCATGTGGAAGAGGAAATAATCTTATTATACAAACCTGTCCTCAGAAGACAGAACTGGAAGAGTAGATGGAAAGATTAATTTAGGTTGGATTTAGGGGAAAACTTCACAGCAATTACAGCTACCCAAAAGAAGAAAGAAGTGCCTTTGAAGGTGCGTTCTCCCTAATTCAGGACTTCAACCGATGAAAGGATACGAGGTAACCAACTACCTTGTTAACCACTTTCCTCCATGAAGAAAATGTTTAGCTTTACAAAAATATAGGTAGCAAATTTATTCTAGGGGAAATTTTGAAACAAACTGTATAGTCAATAGTAGGGGAAGACCTAAACAAATCATGATATACAAGGATAACAAAATATTATTTTGGCATGAAGAAAATTGAATATAAAAATTCTAAAACTTATGTGAAGATTTGTAAGAACTGATGAAGAATGAAGGAAAGCTACTCTTTCTTCAAACAATGAATATACTCTTAGTAGGACTAAAAACTGTTCACATTAACTGTTTTTCTTTATTATAAGGGTGGGTTTTAGGGGAGTGAGATGGAGTGGGGATGGCTTTGAAGATCTAATTCTATTAAAAAAAACCCAACCCAAGTATTAGTATTAAAAATTAAGTCAAGGTGCAATCTCTTTCCAACAAACTGTAAATTCCAAGGAACTGTTTTTTGTGTTAGGGGTTTTTGGGGAAATACTTTTGGGCTGTGACTTTTGTGATTATATTTGTCAGCTGTGTTCAATCACAATTTATCAGCAGCAACAACAAAAACCTTTAAAAGTTCCCGAATTTATAGTTTCTTTTAATTATGCATTTCCTCAATCAATAGATACTTAGAGGCAGCTTCTAGTACTTTTTAATTAAAAAAAAAAGAGGGAGTGAGCCTAGATCTATACGCTTCCTTTTCAGCTTTAAAATACTAAAGCCATTATGATCTGTAGGTTATCTTAAGGTCTTGCTAATTCTAAGTCTATGATACTATGATTTGAGGGACAGAGTGAGTCTGGGACTGGGAGGGAGAGGAAGGTCAGAGTTAGAGGGTAGGGGCAAAGAGAGGAAGAATAGAAAGGGATAGAACTAAATTCCAATTTAGACGAGTTAGTGTGTAATAGATAGCACTGGGGTTAAATGAGGAGAAAGGGCAGCAGATTAGCTCTACAACTTGGGACACCACCTTCCTCCACTGAGACCCCAAGAACACTTTCAGTTACGACCACGCCTGCGCAGCTCTATTTCTCCTGTCCCTTCCCCCCACGTTTCCCCCCCCCCCCGCCGATAATTTACTCGTTTCTAGGCAACCATTGATCTCGTACAGCCAATCAGAGAGAGCATTATCTCTGCGCCCCGCCTCCGTCAGCACCCCTGCGGAAGGATCCCTTTTTGGGCAGCCCCGCCCTAGTCCCGCCTCTGGCTGTCTTCGGAAGGCCGAGTTAGGGGCGGAGGCAGCAGAGGTGGGGCGGGGCGTACTGAGACCGGTATAAGAGCGGAGGGGGCGGCGGCGGAGCGGCTCACTCGGTGCCGGTGCCCGGGGTTTGTAGTGACCGAGCCCCTCCCGCCGGGGCTACCGACGGCTAAGACGTGCTAATACCATCATCGCCGTCACCTCCTAGCCCTCCTCCTAATAACAACTCCACCCACCGCCCAGGTGAGCGAGTCCAGGGTTGTCAGGTGCCTCCCACTCTTATTGCCCCCTCTGCTCCGCTTAGCCTCCTAGCAGAGTTAGGGCAGCGAGAGAGCCCGGAGGGGTCTGCGGGCACCTGGGTGCCGAGGCTGGCTGCTGCGCGCCTCGGGGTGGAGGGGACGTTGGGGGGGGCAGTGCACAGCCCTGGGGGAAGGGCAGTGTTTGTGGGGGGCAGTGCGACCCCCTGGAGGAGGGCCTCCACCCTCTCCTTCTCTTCTTGGGGCTGGCTGCATCTCTCCGAAACCGAGCCTTTCCGCTACTCCGAAACCGAGACAGAGCTGCGCCTCTGAGTTGGCAAACTTTTAAACCACCGGGCACCTAAGTGCTCCGCACTAGGCTAGGCGCTTGGGGGAGGGGGATTATTAACTGCCTCCTTGGAGCGCTTTAGGGAAAGCGCTTTGAAAAACTTTCTGTGCTTTCGAGGTGTGAGCGGCTCCAATTTTCCTGGGATTTCAGTGCTGCCCTCCCGTAAAGCCAGGCTGCTCTTGCTTACCCCTCCCTCCCCCCGTCTTCCGACCCTGACCTTCCCTAGTTCCGAGACATCCCGCTCCTAGGCAGCCGGGAGCAGCACGGTCACCTTCCTTCCCCGACAGACAGATGAGAGAATTGAATCCAGCTGGCCTAGAATTAGGAAGATCTGGGTTTTCATATCCTTGCCTCCAACACTGGCTGGCTGGGGGACTTGTGAGGGAGTGACTTAACTTTGCAGGACTTCCAGGCAGTTTAAGATTACTAGCTGTTTGAGCAGTTATCTTTGTGCGTTCGTGGATGGAATTTCACTGAGAGTCCCCTAAACCGAAATTGCAGGTCGGGACCACAAAAGGGAAAAGAAAAAGAAAAAGAAAGGAAGAAAGGAAGGAAGAAAGAAAGAAAGAGAGAGAGAAAGAGAGAGGGAAAGAGAGAGAGAAAGAGAGAGAGAAAGAGAGAAAGAGAGAAAGAGAGAGAGAGAGAGAGAGAGAGAGAGAGAGAGAGAGAGAGAGAGAGAGAGACAGAGAGAGAGAGACAGAGAGAGAGAGACAGAGAGAGAGAGACAGAGACAGAGAGACAGAGAGACAGAGAGACAGACCGCTACAGGCTGTAGTTGATTTTGGGCTCGGTACTGTGCCGGGGGCTCAAAGATATAGAAACGACACTGAGATAGAATAGCGGCGCCATTTACCTACCTGATGATGGTCTCCGGCTTCTGCGGAAACTAGTGGGGGAAATGAGACCTCCCTAATTTTTTTTTCCCCTTTGACATAGACTTTTTTGTTTTGCGAATACTGCGCTGTCAGCTGTAACTGCCTTAGGCTCATCAAATACAGCACAAACCAAACTTGCTTAGCAACCTGTTGGAATGAATCCATTAGGATAATTTTTTTTCTTAAATCGCAGTTTCCACTTTTATGGAGTTAGGTATTAGTTGTTCAGTCTCCGTTTTCTCATTTAGAGACCTAGGTTTAGCAGTTGGGAGAACGGAGAGGTGTATACAGCATCATTAGTCATAAGAGGGGGAGAGTAAGAAAAATAGCCTTTAGTAAAAATAAGCAAACAACAACACATCAAAACCCCTAAGTCACCTGAAGGAACACTTTTGACTCATGGTTCTATGTGAAGAAACAAAAGGGTTTAACATTGTAGATACATTTTAGTTAACCGTGTTATTTAACATTTCAGGGAAAAGTCCTTTTTTCTTTACTAAAAGGTAGTGTCTGACCCTACTTTCATAGAACCATGGAGTGTTGAACTGATCTAGAGATCAATCATCTCAACCTCCTCACTCTTTCAAATGAATACAAGGGCTGAGAACTAGATCTTCCAGGCCAGGGCACCGATCCATTTTTACTCAAATAGAATAGACAAGAATTACTTATAAAGGTGTTCATTTTTAGTAAAGTCTACTTTTCTGTGTGACTGTTTTGCATTATCACAGGCTGGCACCAGATAAAATTTGAGGAATGGAAGAAATGACCCTGAAACCATCCTGCCTTCTGGCATGAAATTAGCACTGGATTATGAACATTTCTTAAATAATGTGGTTTCAGTATATCTTAGTGACTTTGTTCAGTTGCCAGAATGGGAACATGTTTTTTTAGTATAAAGTGTGGGACAAAAGTTGGGAAGAGGATGAGGGTGGTAAGGAAAGGAGCAGCATTACTATATATGAAGTAGTAAAAATATTCCTTTAGGAAAAGATTGTGGCTTTAGACACACAAACATCTCACGCAGGTGCTATTTTCACTTGATTCTTTGTCAAGCCCCAGATTGCCTACAGGACCTTATGATCAAAGCTTACCTCTTCTCTTGTACTACCTATGTGACCCTAGAAGTCACTTCACTTCCCCACTTAACATTCTTAATCTGTAAAATGAGGGAGGGGATTGGACTATATGTATACTTTGGCATACATATCCACTTGAGTTTTTAAAATGCTGATTAATTTCCCATTCATAGAGCCCCCAAATATTATTGCAAATGTGATTCAGAATGACTCAAGATTTAATGTATAGTACCTATTATCCTAATAAAATTCTGTTGAGTCTCAATAGAATGAGGGAGACACTGCTCTTGTCATCAAATTATTTAGCACCTGAGAACACTAATGAAGCAATTATAAGTTTATTAAGAGTAATTTATGAGCTAGGTACTGAGGATACAAAGGTGAGACAATCTCTGGTTTCCAGGAGCTTATGAAGTGTGTGCAAGGGTACTAGCATCTTGTCATTTGTTTTAATGACATATGGTCACATGACATTCAGAGCTTATCTCAAATTGTAGAAACACTGATATGCTGCATGTGTAGGTGGGATTGGGGTGTGTGTGTGTGTGTGTGTGTGTGTGTGTGTGTGTGTGTGTGGTGGGGGAAGTGGTGGTTTTGATATGTCAGGCTGAGAGTGTAAGCTGGAGGTCCATTCACATTATGTGGTGAGTCAAATGTTGATATAAAAATAAAATCCCTTTGGGTACTTTCAAAAATCCCAGATATTCAATATAGCAATCAAGGAAAATTAAGAAGTGCTATATTTAATTTTGGACTTATAGTTCTACAAACTACCACATAACTGTCAAAATTAAGTAGATTCAGTGAGGTCACGCTAGGAATTTTCATCACTCTTCTTAAGGTATAAGTTTTCTTGAAATTAACACTAGTGAAATAATAACCTAAATACTTTGAAATGATCAGCTGTAATGTGTCAAAAACCATTTTCTAATTAAAGCCATATTTAACAAAAAGAGGAGTTTCTACATAAGTTACAATAGTTGTCAATTTAAATATTGTATGTTGTGGTTTTGTATCTGGCTAAGACTGAGTTCTATGAGAACCCAGAATCAAGACTTAAGCTCACTTGTCTGCTTCCTGCTAGTTCTATGAGCCTGCTATTGTGATAGGTTTGTATATGAAATACTCCAATTTTTGAATGTTACTTGATTTAATGAGGGGAGTGTTTGTATTGTTTTCTGAGTCTTCACTGAACTCTGTGTAAAGCTAATAAGGAAGAGTTATATAATGGTTTCTGGACTGTCTTTTTTTTTTTTAATACCCACAAACCTGGCATAGTGCCTAAGAAATGTCTTAATTTTGTTGGATTAACTAATTCAGTAGTCATTTAAAGTCTAGGTCCTGGGGTGTTACAAAAATAATTTGTAAGATAGTAGAGAAGAGTTAATACCATATCTAAGAGACATATTACTTTGGAGAAGCCTTTTTAAGGTGAATCAAATACATCAGTATGCTACCAATGGAATGTCAAATTGCCATGAATTTGGATGAGGCAACAGTATTAATCACATGAGAGTCTTGTCAAATTTCTTTGGAAGTACTCCAAGTTATTTTATCTGGCACCCATAAAATTCCTCTTATATCTGGAATTTAAATAAGCTAACATGAAGTAAACATCTTTAGGAAGGACTTTAAAGAGACCTGAGGGTTCTCTGAAAAAAAAACCCAATTTTTCTTATCTGGGTTGTGTCATACAGATAATCCCATCGACTTAATATGGCAGCCATTGTAGACCAGTGGTACTAGACTTAGAGGTATTTATAAAGCTTTGTAGAAAGGAGAGAAGACATGGTGGGAAAAGTACTAAAGTTGAGCTGATCTGAAAAGAAAACTTCTGAAAACAAAATCCAGCCTACCATTGTGGCCAAAGATGCTAATTGCCCTTTTGTATATCAGGGTAATGATCTTTCTGTTAATGATGTAATAGTTTACTTTTATAACCTGTTAATATATTTTGGAGCCTTATCTCTTGTTCACAGCTTATCTTTACATTTGTGGTCCTTGGGAACTAGATTCAGGGCCATTCATATTTCATGGCTCCCTTATTTCTTGGGATAGTAATTATTGTAACACCAAGCTGGGTTGTTGAGACAAAAGTGACAGACTGAGGACAATAGTGAGGATAATGCACTTACTCTGGCTGGCCTGGAGTCTGAGTTTTGGAAAGTTTGATAGCCATCATTTATTTTGCTATTGTTACTCTCCTTCCTAGGTTCCCACTGCTAAGCTTGCCATCGTCCCTTTTGTATAGTTGGTTGTTAAAGGTCCTGTACCTCCCCCCTGCTCAGGTTCTTATCAATGTTGTTCAGCTTTTCTCCATTGTTGAAGTTATCTCTGAACCTTTCTTTGTTTCTGGACTCCTTCACTAGTTGGCACTATGAATAAAGCACTGGACTTGGAGTCTGGAAGACTTGACTTGTGGATCAAATACTGCTTCAGACACCTATTAACTAGCTATTTGACCTTGAGCAAGTCACTAATCCACTTTCAGACTTATTTTCTTCATCTCTAAAATGGGGATAATAAAAGCACCTACCTGGTGGGGTTGCCTTAAGGATCTAATGCCGTAGACAATATTATGTAAAGCACTTTGCAAACCTTGAAAGCAGTATGCAAATACTAGCTATTGTTATTACTAACTCTTTTCTGTGTCGTTTTGAATATTTGGGTCTCTCCCAATTCTCACTGCCATTCAACTATCCTAGGCTCTCCCACCCCTGAACTGCTCCCTGCTTTTAATCTGTTTGGTTTTTTTTAATAGAAGACTGCCTAATTAATCTCAACCCAATCAATCTCAATCAGCTCCCTATTGCAGGTGAGTATCTGCTTTAATCTGTTTGCTATCCCTTGAACACATCTTACTAATACTTGCTAATATATCTTGTTTCGTACTAATAATCCCTTTTCTTGTTTTTCTTCTTTTAGTCTTATTTCAAATCTAATTCAAAGCTAGGGGCTTCTTAAAGTATCTTTGCTTAATACTTTTCTTATTCCATGGTCAAACCTCAATTGGTTAATGTTCTTTTTGGGTTATAATTCTCTAGTTCTTCCCATAGGTATATATTCTTGTCCCTACTATAAAGGGGAGGAGAGATACCACATTAATATATTTGGTTCTTCTAGAAGAAAATAGAGGACTTTTTTCCACATGACATCCTTCCACCCACACACTACTTTTCCCTTGCTTTGAAACAGCAATTGTGTGCCAGCAAAGGCTTCTCTAAACAGAGCATACTTGTGTCCTGCTAGGGTAGACAAAGGGTTATTAAAGGAGTGGTTGGCAGCTTGCCCCATGGTCAGGGTGGGGGTGGGGGAGCTAGTCAGCATTCACCTCTCCAGCTCCCATCTGCCTCATTCCTCACCCTTATCTTTGCCTTCCTTTCTGCTTCCTTTGGGGTACAGGGGACCCCCCAGCCTGTGGATCTATGACTTGAGGGGCTTTCCCATCTTTCAATTGTTTGCATACCATAGAATTTTAGCTTAATCTAGAACACAAAATTGAGACATTCCTTCCTTTTGTGGTATGACAGTGTTATCATCCAGCCTTTTCTGGGATACCTGCACAGTGATGAGTGTGTTTTCTAAACAGACAGCCTTTTCAGGCCATTATTGGATAGCTGTAGACCTATACAGAGCCCAGATTTTCCTCTCTAATTACTATCCATGTATCCTTTCTGGGACCCCATTGAACAATTACAATTCAATGCACTTCAGTGCTTACTAAATATTAAGCACTGGGCTAGGTCTCAGGCCCTTGAGGAACCTTCTCAACATGACAACCCTTCAAATACTGGAGGATACCAATTGTACTCCCTCCCAAGTTCTTTCTTTTCTAAGCTAAATACCTTCCCATGGTAAGGGCCTAGACTCCTCCTGCTCACTGGTTGCCTTCTTCTGAGTTGTCGGTTATTGTTTTTAAAATGTGACCCCAGATTGGAACTTATATTAATACTCTTATCTGTCCAATGTAAGAATGCAACAGGAAAGGGAAGAGAAGCAAGTAAAGTTTATTAAAATATCTACTATGTGCCAGGAACTGTGTTAAGTGCTTTGGACATATTTTCATATTTGATCTGTACAATAAACCTGTGAGGTAGTTGCAATCCTCATTTCACAGCTGAAGAAACTAAGGCAGACAGAGGTGGTGACTTGCCCAGGGTACTCAGCTAGTAAGGTATCTGAGGCCAGATTTAAATTCAGGTCTTTCTGATTTCAGGCCCAGTACTCTGTCTTGTGCTCCACCATGTTTTCTTACCTACCTCCCAAGTCTCTCAGATCCTTGCTTGCTTCAATGTCACTCTCTAAGCAGAAGTGAAGAATTAGAAAACTAGAGAAATTATTGTAGTGTAAACTTGGATCAGAGGCCTGGAATTTTATAGCACAGTCAAGGACATTTGATGGCAATGGACCAGGGCTCTCGTGTGCCTGAAATCCTCTTTCAAATTTTTTTTTTTTACCATTCATGTTTTTATTTTTGAGAAAATTATGGTGAAGAAATGGAGACATTAATGAGGTGCTTGAAAGAAGACTCCCTTGAAAACAAAATGATTGAATGAATCGTTGTCATCTGTAGAGGATTTTACCCAAGACATTGGGTGAACCCCAAAGTTTGAGGAGCTTCCTGTTAAATGAGTGATAGGATTATTTCTGATTTATCTAAATAACTCACACGAACATAGCCTATGTTAATGAATAGCCTATGTTAATGCTAGGACTCTTACAATTAAAATTTACTTGAGAACTTTTTAGATCTTGGTCTATCTCCTCTCATGGAAATACCTAATGTGCTTTGGCTTTGAGCAAGACACTTCATCTCCCAACACTGGGCATTTTCTCAGGCTGGCCCTCATTCATGCCTGGACCAATCTCCCTCCTCATTTTCACCTCCTGCCTTGCCTGGCTTCCAGCTAATACCCCACCTTCTACAGGAAGCTTTTCTGATGCTCCTTCATCCGGAGTGCCGGTTGATTATTTCTCATTTTTTTCTGTATATTGATAATTTGTACATAGTTGTTTGCATATTATCTCCCCCATTAGATTGTGACCTCCTTGAGGGCAGGGACTGTTCTTACCTTTCTGCCTTTTTCCTTTCTTTTGCAAGCTCAGTGCCTTTGCATAGTGCCTGGCCATGAAGTAGATGCTTAATCAGTGTTTACTGACTGACTAGCAGTTTATTTGAACTACCTGTAAAGACTGATCTGAGCAGTTTAACTTCTGGAGCCGTTCCCTGATGCTGGTTGGTTGCTGATTCTGTTTTCATTCCTCACAACCCCAAATCTATGTTCTGCAGTAACAGTATTGCAAGTTCTTCCAGTCTTATCTCTTCAACCATGTTACTTTGGGGAACTGGCTAGATACTATTTTAGAACTTATTGAAACACCTCTCTAAGTTGGCTAGAGGTCTCCTAGGGAAGAAGGTATCTCTGTGTGGGGTGTGGCTTCCAACATAGCTTAAAAAAAATTTGCTACAAGTCTTAAGTTTACACTAGCATGTGTGGAATAAAACCTATTAAATTTACTATGTTTGACGTCGCTCAGGCAATTTCTTTAACTTTGAACTCATAAAATTGTACCGCTTTTGGATCTAGCTGGCTGGGTCTTATTCTGAAGTAGGATCCTCCATTATATCGGGAAGTATCTCAATTGCTGTGGGAATGTAACTGAATTTTTTGACTCTTAAGTACATATTGATGTTAAATGGTGGAGTAGATACTGATAAGTCTGAGAAAATTCACTGATGACTGAATTCTATAAAAGGTATGAATGAGAAAGGACCATCTGTGGGTTGCCGCTTAGGCAGACCTTTTTTTCTGCAAGCATTGCTTTGCAGTATGGGGAACTACTTATGGATGTGGAACATGAGTTTGGGCCAGTTAGGTGGGTAACTGTGGAATATGAGCTTCCTGGAAAACAGTGGGGAGGAACATTCAGTCAGAATGGCTCAAATAACTTCATTTTTAAAGAAGGAGAGTGGAGGGGGTGTGCAGTATAGTCTTTTTGCTGCTTCAATCCTGATAATCAAAATAACTTGTCCTGTAGTATTAAAAAAATGAGCATTATATGCCTCACATCACTTATGCTAGAAATTTAGTGTTCGTAGGAGTCACCAAAACTTTACTGAAGCATATAGGTGAATACTTGGGTGGAGGGTATTGGTCAGATACTGAATTGGTGTAACTAATAGGCCATACTCCCTAAAATTAGTTCTCTGAAAGGAAAAAAAAAAGACATTAAACTTATAGACTGAAAGTAAATTAAATAAAATCACAGTACTTAAAAAATTAAACTATTGGGAAGAAATTTACTCTTTTACTAAAGGTAGATAATCTTAAATGAGATAATTGTAAAGCATTTAGTGTAGTGCTGGACACTTAAAAGCGCTATACAAATGTTAGTTATTGTTATCAACTTCTGCCACAGAAACAGACAATGCACATATAAAGAAAAGTCAGAGAAATTGGGAATTTGAAGTGTAAAAAATATGTTCTATATAGAACTGGTGGGCGTTGGAGAGGAATCAGGGAAATAGGCTTTGGAAAAAATGTTTTGCTAACTCTCCCTTCCCTTTAAATTCCCACCCTCCCCACATACAAACAGAATAGGGAAATCAGGATTCTCCACCCTCTTCTTTTTTTCCCACTTCCTCTCCTAGTGACAGCATTCTCGTACTGTTATGCAAAGATCACCTTGCTATCACCACCACAGGCTGGGCAGACCTCAGCCCAAGTAGCAAATGCGCTACTTGTGCTCTGCCTACATTTGCCCTCAGCCTGTGCTAATTTAAAGCACTAACACCAGCTACCCTATTTTCTAGATTGAATACTTAGATGCCAGAATTTTGGACTTTGGGGGCTAACTTAATCCTTGGGTCCTATCACTTACTTTCTTGTACCTTCTCTGCCTTCAGAGTTACCATTCCCTTGGAAACCCACTACTACATGGGATATCCCATCCTTCTTCTATTCCCAGACTCCTTTCTACTCCAGTTTTTTTTTGGAGAGGGTTTTTTTTTTTGTTGTTGGTGAGGCGGTTGGGATTAAGAGACTTGCCCAGAGTCACACAGCTAGTGAGTATCATGTATCTGAGCCCACATTTGAACTCAGGTCCTCCTGACTCCAGAACTGGTGCTCCATCCACTGCACCATCTAGCTGCCCCTTTAACTCCCTGTTTCATTGGGCTCCATGGACTCCTGCAGCTGCAAGGGGTGGCTGAGTCCTCAGAGAAGTGGGGCTGGAGGACATAGTAAACAGTCTTGGGACAAAGACTCCTCCTCCTCCTCACCCAATGGACTTTTTTAGATTTAAAAAGGATTGGGAAAGGGAGGGAAAATTTAATGACCTTTGCAAATAAGATCTCTGGGAGCAGTGACTGGAAACCTGAAAATGGGAGGGATTCTTCTCTGTCTTGCAAAGGTGTTTCTCCAAGTGTGTTTGGCCAGCTAATGGCTAAACTTTTTTTTTTTTTTAAATTAAAAAAAAATTCTGAACTTAACCAACTAGGATAGGCAGGAATAAGAAGTTGAATAAAATAGTAGATGAGCCTTAACCCATCCAGTACTAAGAGCACAATTATAAATAGCCTATGTGAAAAAGCAAGACTTTTTTTTGGGGGGGCATGGTGGGGGAGTTTGGTTTGATATGTTGCTAAGGCCATCAGGGTAGGGATGACTCCCAGGGCAGCCTCCAAAAGGAGATCAGTTCTTCCTGCTATCCATTCCCTGTGGATAGCTTTTGGCAGTCACCATACAGGATCCTGAAAAAGAGAGAACTTAGTCTAGGGACTGAATCTAGTCTGGCCCATTTCTCCTATAAAGT